AAGTACACTATTTTTAACCCAATTCCCAAAATTCTATCTACGGTCTGCTCAATTTGTATCCGTTAATATATTATGAACAGACGAGTCCATGGGTTTCTACAATATATACTATTTACTCCCAACGATCTCCACCTTCTTCTGTTCATATTTCTCTTTAAGAGGGACTGGTCTAAGCTGACTAGCGCTACTCATCTTTTGAAACCTTTTCCACTTTTAATATCCCCATGTTGAATTCGCAAGTAGAAAAATATCTTTCATACTTTAAAAATCTTTACAATGGAAAAGATATAAGCGCCTTCAGGGATTGTTTACCTTCTGGTCGGCTTATTGTGGCCGATGCAATTTAGCCGAGCTCCGACTCTACGGTGGCTTTGAGACCCATCCTGTGTTACTCGTTTTCATTATTCACCGTTCCAAGCAGGGGGTTTTATACACCAGGAAACTGAATGACTTCGGTAGAAGAGATTATTTTTAATATTCGTGAAAACGTCTCCAATGACACTAGAACGCAAGCCGCTTAGGTCAAAGCACACCGAGGAATGATATTCAGGGCCGCCATCATGGCAGTCACAGTTACAAGTGCAAAAATAAAGATAACAAGGCACCTGTTGGTATTTTTGACGATCGTGTTACTACCTGCGCGACAGGAAACCCGGCACATCTGTGCAACAGAGTTTGCTTCTATAAAGCCATATAAGGACATCCACCATATAGGCGTTTTTCAATGGACCCACGGCTCTTGCTTGCTTTATTCCATCAGGTTCCAAGTGACTAGAGCCATATTGCACTGATTATTACTGAAAAGCATGAACAAAGTTGTGTACGATTGTTTGTGGTTTCAGAGACTGAAAGCAAGATCCTGTTCAGCCTGTGTTGAGCTTATGCAACTTTTGCATAGAACAACAGTGTTGGTGGCATGGTGAGTATCCTGTACTCCCTTGAGTGACAGTCTTTTTGGCGTATGTCCTTGCTTGGCGTTACAGGAACCAACACTGCCTCCGGGAAGCTGTGACAGCTAACAAGTTCAACTCGTTTAATTACTTCAATAAGACTTTGATTTCTAAAACAGTCTATGTGAGCCCATTGCCGGATGCTCCGCTGTTCGATTTTCATCCGCCGGCGTGCATGCCGTCACACAGAGTAATTATCATTTGGGTTGATTTGGATAACGTGCATATTTTTGCATTCAGGCCAAACGGCTGGACGGATTTTCACATATGAGGTGTCGGTGGATTCGTCTTAGCGGTGCGAGTGACACAAGCTACATTAAAACTTTATACAGAACAAAATGACAGATTTAAATAAAAGATTTCAACTTTGTAATTCTTATTTCACAGGCTACAGCTTAAACAGCTTGATAGCTCCACAACAGAGCGTATCGTCACCTTCCTGTAAAAACCTTATAACTCCATATTTCTAGATTACCTATACTTTAGTATGTTCTGTGGAGCAGGATTAACATGCTCATGATGTTAAAATACTGCTCTACATATATCCTTAGTTCACAGAACATCCTAAGTACATCTAAGTGTGAAAATGTTCGTAACTCGAAAAGTAGAAAAATTGAGTTATCTTGCAGTAAGTTGGCGGTATAGCAATAAATAGCAACAATTTTTCTCCATTTCCTTTTACGAGTTTTCTGGTCTTTCAAACATTTATTCAGTTCTTTCATCGGAAATAACATTCTTGACCTGAAAAATAGTTTCTTGGCTTTTTCAGGGCAGTCAATGTTGCTGCTCTTTAACAGAAGTTCGAATATAAAATTTAGATTTTCTGTCACTAGTCCGTCCCCATTGAACGTAGTAAACACCTTTGTCAGCTTCTCGATTTGATTCATGAAAGTTGTGGAAGGTTTTGAGGACCCACCCTCACTCAGATGGTCTATCCAGGAATAAGTTTCATTTGAGGAACTTTTGAACCTCTCATCCTGCGATTTATAGCAAACAAAGCCGGCCAAATGTTCCAGCCCGTCATACTCGAGCTCATCTATTTCTTCCACTAAAACTTCTTCGTTATAGTCAGCTGATTCTTCAGGTGCATTATGTTTATTCTCGTTAATGATACGGTTAGTGGTTAGTGGAATGTCTGGAGTATCCTCGGACTCTACGCTGCACTAGGTACTCTGAGTTTCACTCCAAAATATATGACCTTATTCTATACTTAAACTCTAGGGGACTTGTATGGTCGTGAATACTATCTTTTGCCCTAATTACTCCGAAAAAGTTTTCTATCACATCTTGATTAAGACGTCTTGTTAACAGGTATTGGACGCTGAAGCGTCGTTTCAGAACCTCAAGGAGCATTTCCTAGTAGACCCTAGCTCTTTTTCCATTGCCATTGTCTTATATTTTTGTAAGATGTAGCCATGTTTTGCTAACGTTTGGGTCTGGAGGAAGGCTGTGGAACTTCATGTCTTAGATTCCGTTTAGATTGATTGCCTATTTATCTACCACACAGGGTATATAATGTATGTATATCTAAAACAACAAGTCACAAAACCACAAAAAATCACCAACAAATCACACTACATAGTATTAACCATAATACAAGTGCACCGCAGTAACGTTATGACAATCCTACCGCTGGTAACCACGAGCCGACAACTCTCACGGTGACGTCACGAGGCTCCGTCCACATGCGCAATATCCTGTCTTCAGTATATGTGTATCGTGATTTGAACCCATGTAACTTGTCGAAACCGCAATCGTTTATTAAAATTTATTAAGCCGCTTACTTCGATTGAGGACACCAACTTACTTAAAATTAATGAGCTATTAAAATGAGTTTACCTCATACATATAAAGCTATTAAAATGAGTTTACTTCGTACATATAAAGCTATTAAAATGAGTTTACCTCATACATATAAGGCAATAATTTAATTATATTTATTGAACTTGTTCAATTAGTTTAGGTAAACGAATTTGCCTAGTTTTGATAAATTATTTTATTTTGACTGGTATATTTGGACAACATTTGGAATTTAAAAGAATAGGCTGCATTTTACTGAATGATGTATATTGTAGTTCTTCTCTAACAAATCTGAGATATCAAAAAATTTGGAAAACTTGATATTGATATTTAATATTTTCGAATCAAAATAAAAACTTTTGTATCCCTGACAAAATTCGAAATTCTCTAATTTTCATTGATTGTGAACTTATTAATATAATATCAAGTTTAATCTATTTGTTTGATTGCCCAGAAGTAGATGATTATAATATATCATCATTCCCTTGAAGCAACTTTTTGTTTTAAATTCAGATTGTAGGGAAGGAGAACCCTAAAAATTAATAAGGGTGTAAATGTGTAAAAATAGAATTTTATTTCTAAGACTTAAACGATACCGCACTAACCCGCATTCAGCGCATTTATATAGGTATATAAAGAAATTCGTCATCGCTTTAAACAGGCTAGGATGTTTTCAAATACTACAAGGTCTGCACCAACAGGAGGCTAAACTTCAAGCCACTATATGTTGAGCACATGTTTGACATAAATGCTCTAAAGGACCTGAATATTGCTGTATAAATAAATTTCACAATCCCATCTCATCAGCGGTGACTCCCCTATACAGAGTGTTTCATTGGGAGCAAGAAATATTCTAAGCATCTAAGCTCGTCACGAAAATCACAAATGAAGGTTAAATCCGGCCGAGCCCGCGAAAAGCAGTTTAACTGTTTTTATTAAAATACATGATACATAATTTTCTACATAGAATAAGTTACCTAAACTAATAAAACAGTTTAATAGAACAGGTACGTGGTCTGCTATTTTCAAGCAAATTAGTTTAATAATATATTACTTTCAATTAAACTGGTTCCAGAAAGTTCAGTTTGAATATGCCGAATAGGTTAGTCACTTAGAATAATTAAGAGATGTATTTCAAGCAATGAAAAATTTACAGAAAAACTGTTTAATTGACCCCGTTTTCACAGTGTAGGTGGCGTGACTCCTGTTCCTCGCACATCACAATATTGAGTTTTTCCGTAGACCCATATTAACTCGTTTGCTTTCTGTCCTAATGACTAGACCTAAACCGTACTGATGCCTAAAAGCATAAAACAACGTTGCATGCGTTTAATTGTGGTCGCAGAGACGTAAAGCCTGGTTGCTCATATTTTGGGCCTTCTACTCAGTATTTAAGGTGTCGCTTCGACTGCTGTCAAAAAGAGAATTACATATTTTTGATAGGAGAAATTCAGCCATTGTCACTATGGTGCGGGCCCACTGGAGGAAGTGTGTGCTAAAGCTTACTTACAGAAATGTATTGGCCTCTAGCTTTATTTCACAGAATGGCCCAATCAGCAGAAGCAATTCGCTTGCCACGACTGAACACTGAGCTCAGCATCCTCAGCCAAAGGAACACCATTCTATGACTGTGTAGCATCCTTTGCACGAGAGAATGGAGTAGGTCGAGCATGGAGCGAGAAGATCGCATAGGAGAGCTTGTACTTTGAATCGACGTGTCTGTTTTCCAACGAGAGCATATACATCTTCTCTGAATCTGAAGCAGCCGTGATGCGGTGACGTGTCCGAGAATAAGATCGACTGTAGCTCAAGAATTAGTTGATGATCCCCCACAGAAGTGGATACCTTGAGGCGCAAAGATCGTTCCGGAGCCATACCATATTTGCAGGCGTCTGGCCTATGGGGTTGTAGTCAGCAGACTAGGGTGAGGGAACCCCAACCTTTTGGAGGACATTGTAACGTTTATTCAGGAGTTTACTTAACAAAACTCGAACAAATATACCTACAACACTCAACACACTAGTTTATGGAACACTTGGTTCGCGCCCATATGACCAGCACTGTGCGACAGTGTCAATCAACAATGCTCGACTGGAGACTGTAACGCTTCCTTTCCGCAAAAAGTCCAGAAAAGATGGAATGCAATGAAGATTCCAACTTTTCTGCACAATCACAGAAAGGGGGTTAACATTAGCTTCCGGTAGCTCAGTCGGTGGCATGAAGACATCTACAGGCGTGTAGCTGTGTGTCGACCATGGCATGGCTAGAGGATAGAAGAACAAACAGAACACAAAAATTTAACAGATTTTATTTAACAAAAAAAAAGGCATTTTCATTACATTAGAATTTTACAAAAATAACAAAATAAGTTTTACATCTTTGGCGCTGCTATAACGCTATCGACTTATCTTTTGCTGGTCCATTTTGACTCGACTGAAGCCAGGATGGTTGAAGTGGAGGTCCCAGTTGTGAGGGGTGACCTCACTATAGTGGCTTCACAACCAGTTGTAGGCGAAGTTAAAGGCGATGGCGCTGCCAAGCTACATGCATGGGTGAAAATATTGGCCAAGGCTAGGCAAAGTGAAAGGGAAAGAGAAAGGGGGTGGCCCCAATCTGAAAAAGAACCGTGTGCATTAGCAACGTGCCCTAATGGCCAAGGCATTTCCAATCTCAGTCTGCCTCAAAAGAGAACCAACGATTTTCTAGATTAGAATTACATTATATAGTTTGATGAAATCAAACCGAAAATTGGAAATGCCTTTCATAAAATAAAATCATGAAATAGCAAAAAAAAGCGTAGAACAAGATGGTGGTCATCAAAAATTTCTCCACATGCTTCTGATATAAAAACATGATCATCGAATATTCATAATCAACGTACTTATAATTTCACCGAACTATGAATATATACGCGCACAGAGGTAAAATCGATGTGGATCGATTTCCACCTCGATTTGAATAAAGTTATGGCGAATGATCGAAGTAGTCGGAAATGACGTTCGATGGATATTTTAAAATCGTACAAGAAATAAATCACTTACATATCGATTATCTATAAACTACAGGCAGATCCAGCAATAAAACTGTATAGTATTATAAAACTCACCATTTTTGTCCTATACGGACACACATCCTAGAAAATTCTAGCACATGGTGCTATATAACCTTGTGCTACTGAGAAGAAATTTCTAGCCGTTCTTCGATCGGCGGCTCAGGTGAAAAAGAAGCGCGAGGAAGATCGCAGATCAGGAACTCCGCATCAAGCGCTCCAAGCGGAAAATTTTCCAAGCAAAAAAGCTAGAGATGGGATTAATGAAATGATAATCGAGAAGTGATTTAATAAATACGATCGGACGGTGAAACCGTTACACTCGCCCCAACTTAACCAAAAAAAAAAACGAAGAAGCATTTAAGAATTTTTTTTTTTTACTAGGAAATTGAAAGTTATCACGGAAGGAAAAATGTACAACCATTCGACCAGATAACAAGTAGCAAAAGTAAGGTAGAAACAAAAATGTTAGAAGAGAATTGGAAGAAAAAGGGATAGCCTCAAGTCTACCAAACAAGAGGGATGGTTATAGCACCAACTCGCTGAAAAGTACAGTGAAGTTGCACTTAAAAAAAACTATCATCATATGATGAAAAATCCAAAACATAAAACATCGTCATACCTAAGACGAGAAAAATAATAAACCAAAAGCTTCAGAAGTAGTCCAAGCACGAATCACAATGGCATCCAAAATGCACGACTGACTACTATAAACTTCAAAACTAAGTAAGTACCTAAACCATAAGAGGTACTAAAAAAAATAATAATAATCTTTCTCAAAACAATTGCCAGATTATCTCGCAATACTCCAAACCCAAAAAGAATATCATCTACAGTGATATGTTAAACCAATATCCAATATAAAAAACTGTGCATTACTTTTTTTCAAAACATGAAAATCAAAAAAAATTAACAAATTCCATTAGGAATTCAAGTCATATAACAAAACAATTTACAAGTACTAAACCAATGAAAACTTGATCATGAAGGTATTTTAATCAAAAAAGATGTTAAGTAAGTGCAGTTCTGATTCCACAAAAAAATTGTCGGGCGCCAGCAGTCTGTAAGACTACAAAATAATTCAAAATAGTTTCAGAGAATTAAAGTATATAAGAGACATTCATGAAATATTGAAGTAAGATTTTCAAAGTCAAAATATAGCTTAAGTTCAATCAATGAACTAGAATTCATGAGTAAGTTCAATCAAAATTTTCGGGTCATGTGACAACATAAGAACCAGACCAAAAAAAAATTTGAAGTACAATATAGAAAAGAGCAAAATAAATTTCCAAAAAAACTAAGTGCAACACAAGTGCAACTGTAAATCTAATAGTGTTAAAATCATAAAGTGAAAGGAAATATTAAAGCTATATGAGCATGATTTTATAAAGGGTTCTCAAAAAAATTTAAAAGTAAGCAAAATATTAAAAGTTTCATGAGTAATAAATGAGAAACGAAGTGAGCATATGTAAAATGCAAAGTAGCGAAACGAAACTCACAAGATATTTTATTAAATCATGATACATGAGAGTAATGCCGCAAGCAAAAATTGTATGCAAAAGTCTACGATATATGTAGGTGCAAAATTGGAGTTATAAAAAAAAACAATCTAGTGAACAAGAAATAGAAATAAATATGACAGGTAAGAATTCGAATTTTGATTTAAAGCAAAAATATGAGAGAAAGACAACTTTCTAGGGTCACCATAGGTGCATTCCAAAGCCCTAGACAAGAATGTCTATAGTCTATGGAATATTTTCATGTAGATCACTGATATCATCAGCGCACTTCAAAGTCTACACTGAGAATAACCATAAAATTGTAAAATGAAAGTTAAGTTCAAATATGAAATATTACAAAATTAGAAAAACTATAATAATTTACCAGTGTAAAGTATGGAAAGAGAATTACTATACTGAATCTATAAGAATTGGCGATTACTTCAAGTCAAGACAGAAATTGAAAGAAATAAGAAGTCGGAAAAAAAATTATGAGAGCAGACTATCAAAACAAATGCAATAATGCAAAAGCAAAATCACCAGATATTTCACAATCTATAGCGAAACATGAAAGCTATGTCGCAACCAAGCTCAAGACTTAGCAATACGCACAAATGTGCACAAAGGCTGAAAGCATATATGAAAAATCTCAAGAAGGAATTGACAATTACTTCAAATCAAATTGAACTGATTGAATTGAACTGAGACATAAATTACTATATCAAAAGTGAGTTTTACTTATACGCCAGAGATTTCAAGAGTTTATCAATACGCACAGATTTGCAACTAGGCGGAAAGCATATATGACAAGTCTCAAGAAGAAAATAAAATGCATATGAAGAAAACACTTTCAATTAAAGAAACTGTGGATAGTACAAGACCCTCAAGGCATACATCGCAACGAATCTATGTAACTATCCAGACTACAAAATACTGTCAAAGTTCAAAACCACTCAAAAATATGAAAACAAACATCAAAAGTTTGAACCAAAAATCAATGTAAGTCTGTGCTCTCGAAGAAAGTTATAATGAATTCAAAAAGAGGATACTATCAAAAACTTCAAAAGTAATAGACTTCAAAAATAGAAGTACGTAAGTATGTAAAGGAAATTCAGAAAATATATGCATAAAAACATTATAAAATATTATACACAGTATTTGTCACATGATTAAGATCGGGAATGCAATTTAAATTTTGAGTACACTCAGAAAAATGAAATATTCAAAAGATGAAGTATACACATTTAATTGGAATCAGAAAAATAATGATTACTTGTAAATTTTGTACATGGTGGACTGACGTAATGGTTCAAAAGGTTGAAAGAACAACGATGACTAATGTCCAAAGTAAACATTCAGCTGCCTCTTACAGCAAATAAGTTTAATCATTATCAAAGGAAATTCTTCTCCGTTCGCATCTGTACTTGGAAATGAACATAGGAAAACCTACTCGCTCCAATGTACAGATCGAAAAACTCGCCCCCTTCGATTGAGCGGAAATATAAGTATTGGACTGATTGTAATATTTCAAAAGGTTGAAGGATCAACGATGTTAAATGTCCAAAGTAAACAATCAGCTGCCTCTTACAGCAAATAAGTTTATTCATTATCAAAGGAAATTCTTCTCCGTTCGCATCTGTACTAGGAAATAAATATAGGAAAACCTACTCGCTCCAATGTACAGATCGAAAAACTCGCCCCCTTCGATTGAGCGGAACTATGAGTATTGGACAAATTGTAATATTTCAAAAGGTTGAAGGATCAACGATGTTAAATGTCCAAAGTAAACATTCAACTGCCTTTTACAGTAAATTAGCTTAGCAATTATCAAAGGAAATTCTTATCCGTTCGCATCTGTACTAGGAAATAAATATAGAAAAACCTACTCGCTCCAATGTACAGATCGAAAAACTCGCCCCCTTCGATTGAGCGGAACTATGAGTATTGGACAAATTGTAATATTTCAAAAGGTTGAAGGATCAACGATGTTAAATGTCCAAAGTAAACATTCAACTGCCTTTTACAGTAAATTAGCTTAGCAATTATCAAAGGAAATTCTTATCCGTTCGCATCTGTACTAGGAAATAAATATAGGAAAACCTACTCGCTCCAATGTACAGATCGAAAAACTCGCCTCCTTCGATTGAGCGGAAATATAAGTATTGGACTGATTGTAATATTTCAAAAGGTTGAAGGATCAACGATGTTAAATGTCCAAAGTAAACAATCAGCTGCCTCTTACAGCAAATAAGTTTATTCATTATCAAAGGAAATTCTTCTCCGTTCGCATCTGTACTAGGAAATAAATATAGGAAAACCTACTCGCTCCAATGTACAGATCGAAAAACTCGCCCCCTTCGATTGAGCGGAACTATTTTTGTAATTATTATATTTAACAAAAATTAAAGTTAAAAACGTGAATACATCAATAAATGACAAGGATCCAAAACACTATAAAAAACTAACAATACAAACAAAAAATTTCAATACAAAAACATGAGTAGCCGAATCTTAAAAGAAATTTTTTTTATATCTGACATACATTAAAAAGATACAGAGACGTTCAAGTCCTGTTAATCCAATGGAAAATCAGACACTAATGTTCTAATTTCCCCCAAAGAATATGCCAGACAAAACCATAAAACATTAAAACTATGAAAACTTATGCTCCAAACAAGAGACAAAATTACTACAATAGTTACTGAGGAACGTATACTATTTCAACAACAAGTTGAAATTTAATTATCATAAATGAGTATGTGTGTCTTTGTATAGGTAAAAATGATTTAGGAGTCACCCCCCCATTGAAAAGTAGCAAAAATATAGTCAAGAAAAACATCATTTGTTTCTTGAAAAAAAAAGGTAAGTATCAAAGTACTATGTCCAAGTGTCAATACTTGAAAAAAAGTAAACCGCCCAAAATATACGAAAAATTATGAATATCAATTTCATATAATTCAGAAAAATGGATAAATCGCAAAATGATTTACTCCAGATAACTCTAGTCAGTAGATTATTGCCATCAGAATGAAAACAAATGATCAAAAGTTCAAGTACAGTCAAAAATTCAAAAAGTAAATACATTTGGGGAAGGCAAAAATAATTTTGAAAGTAAATTTCCTACGTACCAAACATCATGAGAGCTATATCAGTACACCAGAGATCCAACAATTAGGCTATATATGCATACATGAAAAGTCTCAAGAAATCAAAAAACTGCACATGAAGAAATACTTTCAAAAACTAAGAGGTTAGTGATCAAAAATGAAAAGCATATAAGAATATGTAAACTATCAACAACAATAGTCACAACCTCAATCAAAAGTTTGATGATATTCGACAAAAATGCTGGGAAACCTAAAGTCCCCAGACTATCAATATTCAACAACAAAAAAAAATATCAAAATATCATCAATCTCAAAAGTACAATGAGAAAAAAGTTATAACTGTCCCCAGCAGTAAATAAAAACTGTAGTAGTATGTGAGACAAAAAAATTCTGGCAATGATCTCGCTGACTACTAAACAAGACAATTTAAAAGTTAATAGTATGCCTATGAAATAAACAGGTGGAAAAATTTTAATCTTTTGATAAAAATTTTAAACATTAAGCAAAAAGTAAGGATGATTAAGGAATTAGAAATTTGAGTACCAAAAGCAATTAAAAATAGAAATGCTGCCAAAGATTGTAAAGAATTTTGAAAACTATGTTCTGTCTGCCAATCTTCCACTAGCAAACCACTTGTCGACAAAGCCAAACACCTATCGAAGCCCCACGTTGGGCGCCAATTTATGTAACGCTTCCTTTCCGCAAAAAGTCCAGAAAAGATGGAATGCAATGAAGATTCCAACTTTTCTGCACAATCACAGAAAGGGGGTTAACATTAGCTTCCGGTAGCTCAGTCGGTGGCATGAAGACATCTACAGGCGTGTAGCTGTGTGTCGACCATGGCATGGCTAGAGGATAGAAGAACAAACAGAACACAAAAATTTAACAGATTTTATTTAACAAAAAAAAAAGGCATTTTCATTACATTAGAATTTTACAAAAATAACAAAATAAGTTTTACATCTTTGGCGCTGCTATAACGCTATCGACTTATCTTTTGCTGGTCCATTTTGACTCGACTGAAGCCAGGATGGTTGAAGTGGAGGTCCCAGTTGTGAGGGGTGACCTCACTATAGTGGCTTCACAACCAGTTGTAGGCGAAGTTAAAGGCGATGGCGCTGCCAAGCTACATGCATGGGTGAAAATATTGGCCAAGGCTAGGCAAAGTGAAAGGGAAAGAGAAAGGGGGTGGCCCCAATCTGAAAAAGAACCGTGTGCATTAGCAACGTGCCCTAATGGCCAAGGCATTTCCAATCTCAGTCTGCCTCAAAAGAGAACCAACGATTTTCTAGATTAGAATTACATTATATAGTTTGATGAAATCAAACCGAAAATTGGAAATGCCTTTCATAAAATAAAATCATGAAATAGCAAAAAAAAGCGTAGAACAAGATGGTGGTCATCAAAAATTTCTCCACATGCTTCTGATATAAAAACATGATCATCGAATATTCATAATCAACGTACTTATAATTTCACCGAACTATGAATATATACGCGCACAGAGGTAAAATCGATGTGGATCGATTTCCACCTCGATTTGAATAAAGTTATGGCGAATGATCGAAGTAGTCGGAAATGACGTTCGATGGATATTTTAAAATCGTACAAGAAATAAATCACTTACATATCGATTATCTATAAACTACAGGCAGATCCAGCAATAAAACTGTATAGTATTATAAAACTCACCATTTTTGTCCTATACGGACACACATCCTAGAAAATTCTAGCACATGGTGCTATATAACCTTGTGCTACTGAGAAGAAATTTCTAGCCGTTCTTCGATCGGCGGCTCAGGTGAAAAAGAAGCGCGAGGAAGATCGCAGATCAGGAACTCCGCATCAAGCGCTCCAAGCGGAAAATTTTCCAAGCAAAAAAGCTAGAGATGGGATTAATGAAATGATAATCGAGAAGTGATTTAATAAATACGATCGGACGGTGAAACCGTTACAAGACCTTTCTGGCCCCATTGTTGGACATTGTTTATTGATGTTTTAGCGCGACACCGATCATGCGCATAAAGTCGGTTCTATGAACTAATACTGACAGATGGTTTACCATTAAATGACAAAAAGTCAGATTTATAAAATTCAAGATTACAAGTCAAGCTGTCCAGAAATTTCCAGATGTTTGTGTTTTCATAAGGATCTCGAATAATGACAGTGTGATTCCAGCATCTACCGCACGTACCAAGAGAAGAACAAAAAGTGTGTTTAGACAGTTTAGTTGTCAGGCTTTGTCTTCACTATCAGTAGCTAGCATCTGCGGCAAGCACCCAGATATCCAATGCGATCAGTGGACGCACTATATTTACTAACATTCAAAGAATCGCATCACCTTTAGTTAAATACTCATATTGTTGTCATCACCTTCTGAAACACTTATGGCACCGTGTAATCTGAAAAACAACTTTTAATATCATCCCTAGAAATAAAGACGCTACGGTTATAACTGTGCGCCATAAAAAGGGCCGTTATTGTACAAACGCAGCGACTCTCCTTTGTCGTAAGCTGAACCGTATTAAAAGTTGAAACTGCAACGCCGGCACGTAACCTGCATTTACGTACATCCAGCAACCTTTCAACTTTGTTCATTTTCCGAGGTCTCTTTTTGCCTCAGTGCCCTTGCTTTACGCTTCTTTTGTTCCTTAGCTCCCGGTTCTATCGCTCTGTCGGCGTGTTGCGTATGCCCCAGAAATGGCGAATAATAGAAAACCGGCGTGCAAATATCGAGAGACACGGCTTAACCTTATTAGTCCACTAGCACTGGTGCGCCGTATGTCAAGGCGAAAAGCGCCTTTAGTCGGTCAAAGATTGGAGACGAGCATTTTGTTGGGAGGAAAATAACATCTACATCACGGCCCATTTCCGTCATCATGTTAGTCTGTTTGACTAACTGTTGGTCTGTCTGCCTGTCCGGTGATCCTTAGCTTCCCTATAATTTGGAAAATACCGCTCTTTTGGGGTATTTTTTATAAATGTTATTATTGCAGTGACGAAAAAGCTTTGCAGACTTTTAAAATCGACTTAGTACTAGTAATGACGGACGTACGGACAAGAAACGAAAAAAAATTGGAACTCCCTCAAACTCCATTTTAGACGTTTCAGAGACTCCTGTTCATTTTTGACGAATATTTTGTGTGATAAAAAACTGGAGTGGAGAGGATATCTCTCAATTTTCTGACGTTAGTGTATTCATGTGCTTCTAATCCTAGACATATTTCACATATGGATTTCCCGTATATTTGACCTTAGGATCCATACTGACAGAAATGATTTGAATAACTGCATGAACGCAACAAAACCAAAAGTAAACCGTCGCGAGTTGATTGCTGGCGTGAGCGAGAGTCGCCCATCACAACTGTGATCGCAACGCCACGTTGTCAGATGACCCGCCGGGCGACTACGTAAAAGAAATATAAAACGCTAAAAAATGACAAAATATCAACTTGTTGTCCAGATAGTTCCTAGTGTGCGTTTGCTCGCCAAGAGCGCTGTGAACGTCCATCTATGGAGGAACGACTCAACGACACGACATTCTCAATGACCGTGCTATCAGTCAGTTCCCCATCATGCTTTATTGGTTGCAGAATGGCGAGATAGTCTGTGGAGTATACACTGAGAAAATGTGTGGTTGAGCAGTTGAGTCGATAGTCAATGTTTATATTGGTCTGCATGTGTATAAAATATATGCTACGTGAGAAAATTATTACTGAATATGCCGCTCATGAAATATATCTATTCTTATTAGCTGTGAAAGACGGGTTATTTGTGAAGAGAGGTTATGTTCAAAGTTATACATTAATACATTACGATTTCCCACCGTTTCCTTTTGGGTTTTCGAAAACTTTGAGAAGTATTACGCGAAATCAGTACCGCACCCGCGTAGTGTGTAATTAATCTACATCACAGGAAAATTAGGAATGACGCATCACATACAAAGCATTTTGCACTGCCTCACATCTAGGCGATGAATTTGTATTTTGTACTTAACATCATAAGATAAATTTCTATAAAATTTAAATGACTGGAAATAAAACTTAATATGAAATATAATAACTTCTTTACGTATATATATATATATATATATATAACTTGAGACGTGGTCATTGTCGTCTAGACCAGTTAGGTGAAAAATTAAAGCTTCCGCCTTTTGTTGGGTACTTCGACAAGATTTAAGCAAAGAGGACTCTTTATACTTTTTTTAATTCTCTCTAGCTTTCAATGGACTTTGCCATCATCATCAGGAGCTGCAATTACAATGATAACAGTAGCAACAAAGGTGTAAAATGAATTTAAATTGACTCAACTTACAGTAGTATGTGAGGATGTTGCTAATTGTTGTTTACGTATAGGATGAGGGAAACGTCCAGTAACATGGTGAGAGCTGGATAGATTGTACAATAGTCAAACTTATATAAAATATGACAAGAACAAGTTAAAAACAGATTAAAAATTATTTAAAAAATTAGAGCATTACATCGTGAAACCACCTGATGATTGCACAAATTAGTGGTCATGGAATGATGAATTGATGAGTGACATGAAACCCTTTGACAGAAGGCCGAAGGATGTCAATGTCAGTATTGAAAGATGGAACGAATTGTGGGCGTGTGCCAAAACGTTGCCAAATCACTTCAGATGATGAGATTTTCAGAATTTTATGTTAGAATTTGTTAAACCGACCAGAGGCAGTTGAATAAACTATATTATTATTAATGGGAATTTAAATTAACAATTATTAATAAATCGTGAGGAGAGAATTATTATATTTTGAGTGGAATGAAATTTACTGGTGGAATCGGCCAAAACACAGATTCTAATTATGGTTGTGAAGAGTTGAAATTTGGGGAGATATGTAAGTTCTCCAATTTTTCGCAGTTTAGCAAATATGAGTAAATGACACTCAGTTGTTTAACATCTGTCTTTTTGTTGATACAGTTGTTATTCATGAAAATGTGGGACATTTCCAGGAATAAACGTTTGGAAAGGTGTTTTTCTTTATCAAGAACTTTGATACTTGTGTAATTCATAGAATGCCCTGTTGTGTTAACATGAGATGCTAGAGCGCATCTTTCAGGATGAAGCCTAGCATCACTTTTGTGTGATGTAATCCTTCCTTTAAGAGATCTGGAGGTCTGACCTATGTATATTTGGTTGCAGTTGTTGCAATTGATGGAGTAGACTGTGTTGGTTAAGCCAAGCAGCGGGACTTTGTCTTTCATTTTTGAAAAAATGCAGTTTATAGTGAGGACGGATTTGCAAGCAATTCGAAAGTTCAAAGGACTGCACAGTCTGATCAGTTTAGGGGTCAGTTCCTTGATGTAGGGCAGGACAGCAAAACCAGGTCTGGAGTCCGGGTTGGTGCTAGTACTGTTAGGATTGATGTTATTATTGGGAATTACATCAGTTCCGTTATTAGGGGTTGTGCGACTATTACCTGCATCACCAGAGTTCGGCAAAATATTGGAAGGTGAACTAAAAATGATCTTGTTAATCAGACACTTCGGATAACCATTATTGATGAACAGTTTTGATAGTTTACGTAAATTTGAGGTGTGGAAGGTATTATCTGAGATGCTGATTACCCTTGTTTTCATCTGTTTTACCAAATTGATTTTAATCCCTAGCTTATGGTATGACCTAAAATTGAGAAACCGACCTGAGGCCATAGGTTTCTGGTACCAGTCTACCAATAAACTGTTGTTGTTGGTGCGAATGAGTCTTGTGTCTAGAAAGGGGACAGACAGGTTCTCATCTTCTTTTTCAATGGTAAATTGGATGTAGGGGTCATAGCTGTTGAATTCTCTGACAATACCATCCAGACCTATGGAAGGGAGGCATAAAATAATGTCATCTACGTATTTTTTTATGAAGAAGAGGTTATAGGGTAGTGTCGGAATAACAGTATCAAGCAGATCATCCATGACATATTCCGCCAAAATTGGTATAGGTTCAGCCACCCAGGCTTTGTCTTCATTAATATCGACAACACTAAAATCAGCACATGCAGATAATGATTACTACATCAAAGACTCATTTGAAGTCTCTCGTCAGTTCAACAGATTGACAATACCAGCCGATCATATTATCGCCAGTCTTGATGTGGTGTCGCTATTCAGCAACATCTATCTGGATGCATGTACAAGAACTATTAATAAACACTGGAATGAGATAAGTCAACACTGCAACATATCTCTAGAATTTTTCACCAACATTATAACATTCCTTTTTCATAACAATTATTTCTCTTTCAACAACAAAATATATTCTCAAACACATGGTTGTCCTATGGGATCTGTTCTGTCACCAATTTTGGCGGAATATGTCATGGATGATCTGCTTGATACTGTTATTCCGACACTACCCTATAACCT